ATATCCGGCATGCACGCGCATGTGAAACTGCGTATCTTCGACTTCCGGGAAAGTGGTCTATTACGCAACCTTAACACTGCAACAAACTGGCACTTTTCCGTTCGGCACGCGTAATAATAATGCATCCCAGGCCCATTCAACATTCAACACCATTAAATCAACGAATGTAGCCCTATATATCTTAACACGTGACATCCAACGATCACGCCTTATTTATGCAAATACTCTTCATCGTGTAAAATAACTTTCTGTACAATCGAATAAAAAGTATACACTGAAGTTATTGAATTATTTAAAAGGACGCTAAAGGATTTCAGAAATATAAATCAACTACAGGCGATCTAGGGGTCGTAATCAGATAATAAAGAGGACATTTCATTGCAACGTATAATGTACATCATCCTCCGAATCGATTCGTAATGTGAATTAACCTGACAGATTTGGGCAACTGATTTGGGATGAACTCGAACTATCATCATTTATATATATATAAATATCTACTGATATAAATAAAAAAAGATCGTCAGGTTTCCGTCATAAACCCATTTCTGTTCCCTAATCTGGTCAAGTCAATGCAAAAGTACATGGAGCTAGCAGGATACCAAGGGTTAAATTACATATTACTCACATATTTATATATTGGCACAAGGAACTCTAGTTTTAAACCATTTGTAATTAATTAATGTGCTACTCATTCAACAAAAAGTTCGTTACTCGGTAACGGCCTCCTGGGTATCTTCAACTTGAATAAAAATACAATTGGTCAACGACACATGACGTCATACCACAACCTTAACGCGTTGAAATACTAAGACACGCGATCTTCAAAATTCACGCGAAATATACCAACGTCACGCGAGAACACCAAGTTGTCAGCGTGTCGGTTATTTCTTCTTTTTTTCAACATTTATTGTTTACAGCTGCGTACCTTTGCTGGTATGTTGCGATTTTTGCCTGGACTCGTGCTGCTAGGCTGTCTCCGAGTCCATAACTTACGGTAATTCTAGGCCATATATAGCCAGCAACGTTGCCACGATTCAATTGACAGCCCACCATCCGTTTTCAAGGTTAGATGTTCAAAATCAGAAAATTACATAACTATTATTGATGTTTTGTGTTCCAATTCTGTTCCATAGTTTGTTTCAAAATCCGCCAGTAAAAACAGCCTCGTTCGCACCAACATCGACAGTCAGTCGTATAGCGTTCCTGGGACTGACCACGCATTGCACGTTCATTGGTTCGTTAATTCACAAAGCGCCCCGACGAAATTCAAAAATCACTACACAAGCGACGTACTGACGTCATTATTGTCGGAGTTCCGCCGGCAGTATTCTTCCCGGAGTAAGGAGTTTTTGGAGTTCGCGTTGCTATCACGCTGAAATCCGTTTCGCTTTTCGTTTTTAAGTTTGGTACGAGCGCTAGGACTATCATCAGGGACATGCTTCCGGTTTTGTTCAGGAGAATCTCCTTGTGTTTGTATTACCTCCGTGGTCGTCGTGTAATAGAGGGACCTCGCCCTCGTACGGAAATCACTACCCCTCCTTACATACTTGTAGCTCCTATACTTCCTTGCTATCTGCGCCCGGATCTGAAAAGGATCATGGGAAAATACACTTACGAGGGGGCAAATGAAAAAAGCATTGAAAAACATTATCATTTAAATTATGTAAAGCACGTTAGTCAAGTTATGCTATCTGTATGTATTAATCGGCGTTATAGCGCCCCCATGATACCACTACACCTGAATTTTAGACTGTTTATTATTATGGATATCTAAATGACACATATTAATTCATTGAATGTGTATTTACACAGCGCGCGCGCACGGAGCCGCAGAGGGCGTGCCGTTTATACGCCGCAGCCACGCACGTAAATGTAAATGAGCAGTTAGCAATAGTTAGTTTAGAGGTGAGTGAGAATTGTAGCTCGGAGTGGTACAATCCGGTCTGCAGATGATGGAGTAAGTAGCAAGCCCGTGGATGTATTATTACCATGCTTAATCAAGTACGTGAAACGGACACAATTTTGACTCACCCCCTGGTGTCATCCAATGTAGGAATGGGTATCATATCTTGAGAACGCAAGATGGCAGAAAGCTTTAACGGGTTAGATGGGACATTTACATAAATCTTGGTACATTATTGCACGGAATAATTGTTTGTTTGCCTTCCATACGTACAGTCTGCATCGACAACTACGAATCTGTCTACAACAGGTCAAATTATCTACGGCATGGCGAGGTGTGCTAGTTAATAAATAACAATCACACATACCTTAAGGAAACAAAAATACAAGACTGGTGCAAATCGGCGTGAGGAGGGTGTTAAGCAGGAAAATAGCAGTACTATTTACTCGACGGAGACGAAGATATTGCTGTTTAAAACAACCCACTGCGTTGTAACATGCTATCTACATCAATAAATACGTGAGTACCCCGAGACAGCTCAGTGACGTCAACACAGATGTTGAAAACAGCGAGTATGCCAACACTAAAACTCAATAGCTGTAGTAAATACGCGTGAAAAACACGAACCCTAGTTCCTTGAGAATTAGTTTCTGGTCACGTTTATTTCTATACACTGTGTTCCAAAATAGAAAGTTGAAATGTGTATAGAAACCCTTGATTGAAGCGTGAAATAAAAATAAATATACTGCAGTAAGGTGTAGTGCGCCTTCATTTGTGATGAGTGTGTTTCGAATTGATAATGCTATTTTTCGACCAGCAAGGTAGACTTGCCAACAGTCCATTGTCTATTTTATTTGGTGTTTTTTTTCAATAAAATTTCAAGAAAGTGTATAAATGGCCGCGGAAAAAGCAACATTTCTTTCGCGGTAACCAGGATTTCGCCATATAAACATTCCCATAATATTTTATTTTATTTAAAAAAATCACTAACGAGTATGTAAGTCTGCTAGCAAGGTTAATGTTCTGATGTTGAAATCTGTAAACTCGGTCACTTTCAAGTGAAGCGATAGGGGAATAAAGAACGACACGATAATCATTATCAATAATAGCAAAACAAAGACGGGGGTCCGGACTTAAATTTGGTATGTCTAAATTTTTGCTTTAACATTTATTTAGCATTTTTATTATGTGTTTCACACGGCAAAAAGAGCCAGTCGAAGAAGCACAAAAAATGGTTAGACGCATTGATGTTTTTGAGAGACACTTCCGAAATCCGTATGCAGTGCGGTGCAGTGGGAATGTGCGAATACAAATCCATATCAGACGACGTACGTTACATAGCTACTGATTACCATAAAACTACCTTGAGGAAACTTGTCAATACATGTACAGTAATCTTGAATTTTGTGTCTATCTGGGTAACTATACTTGTAATAATGCTTGTACTTAAACTTGAAATCTAATCCACGAATAAGCGAAATTGTTTTGTGGGGTAACAAATAACTAAAATGCGAGTGAGAAAAAATCATCAAAAAACCTTGTCTCAAACTAGTAAGGTAAACATCAATAGTAAACACCTGACATTTACTTGTACAAAAGCTTTTGCTGGACCACGAAACTCTCACTATTTCCCTTACATAAAGTGAAAAGAAATACACATCATAGGAGTAAAATAACGGGAGATACTGTAGACAAACTATAGAAAAAGCCAACTAACTTTGAAGGTGTCATGCAGATGTAGTTGAAGTGGCTTTCTTTTTGTAGGCGGATGACTTTTTGGAAGCATGCGCAGATGATGATGAATTGGACAGGGGGTGTGTCAAAAGAAAATTCCGTATGTATCTATAGAGGGTATCCATTACCTCGCCGTTGAAAAAGCAGAAGATACATGCCACAAAGAATCCCTGCAATAAAAAACCGGAAAAAATTATGTGAGTATTAACAAACATTGGGACAATTGTTGTTGACAAACACACGCATGAAGTATCCAGGCAACACGAAAGGCAACGACAAATAAAACGAAACAAATCTATGACAATACGATAGCTGGTGAGGGGCGTACAGTACTTCGCTTCAAATGTACACTAAAACACCCATCGGGCTGTCTCTCAAATGACATAAATCTGAGTAACACACTACTGGAGACGCTTTTTCAGAGTAATACATCACCGACAGTATATGTTGCAATCGTTGGCGATCGATATAGATTCTTGTAATGCTAAGGGAGGGATTGAAACATTAGAAACTCGGAGGTAGGGTATGATGGTTAATGCCCTAGCACTGAAAAGGGGAAAGTTAGGGCGACTGCCTATACTAACAGATGGCACTCGAAGCCTGTCATGAATCCAATGTTTCATTGGTTGTATGTACAGTATTCATTTCATATACTGATAAGAATAGAATATATACTGCTAGAGATTTATTTCGTTGTTCTAAATTATTTTTTACTGGGAAACAATAATAGGCAGAATAGTTATTTGACATTATTCTAGTTCCATTAGTTATCTTATTTTACCTTTTTTAAAAAAAATAGTCAGTTCGATGCAACTGGCGTTTTATTCAACTCTAAACAGTTTTGTGTAAAACCATGGTTTTAGAACAGTGAAATGGAATAAGAATCCAGTATATTTAAATGTATTACATTGTAGTTATTAACACTCACCTGAAACGCGATCAAAATAGCAATAATGAGATCGTATATTTGTTTGGCCATACCAGTCTTTGCTGGCTGAAATGGCATGATTATGTAGTGCAATCCCAATAAAGGTAATAAAATGAGAGTAGCGCGCACAGCTTTCCTGAAAGATACCACATGAAAAGCAGTGATCAGTAACACAACACCGGAGATAATCTGTTGAAGAATACTGAATTGATCGATTTTCAATAAATAAACCCATGACTATATTGAATGAAACCAATCAGTTGGTATATTTGAACATAAAACTCAATTTCCTTGTGTGTTTTAAATCTCATAAGAAGAGGGCTTTACGAAAGCACAGGATGATAATGAATGCAACACGATATTTACATGACGTTTTTTTTTTTAAACGCCACTCTTTACGTATAATAATGTCGTTTAATATGCATCATTGATGGAGTGAATACTGTTGAAAAGTACTAAAATGAAGTGATCATCCCATAATATATATATAAATAACAGGCACATGCGGTATCATTATCTGATATTCATGTATGTAGACAGGGAATGGTAGACACCTTGCTCGGCGCTGATTGGCCAAGGCGTTACACACAACACAGTCATTCTTCAATAACTCTACATAGGGTCTTGGCAGGTCTTTGCTACCTCGTCAACGCGGCATACCATGGCGCACACGCCGCGTAACGCGGGTGCGCTACAATCCAAAGAGAGAGAGTTTGTATGTGACTTGAAATTCATACTTACTTATAATTGTGAGTATCCGGTGTATGCGTGGCTCTGAGTTTTGTGACCAGGACTCTTACTATATTCAGCAATAGTACAAAGTTGATCTACACAGACGAAAAGAAAATATAAATCAATTGGACGACTATCATGTAAACAGCAGTTAGCATGGTGAAAGTATACAACAAACTCACTTGGAATGTGTGTGTGTGTGGGGGGGGGTATATATTGCAAATACTTACTACTAGAACAGCAATGATTGGCCCAGCAATAATAAACTCATAGTCAGTACCAAAGAACCAGCACCTGGATAGAAATATACACTACACATTAGATGATATATAATGAAATGAATGATTCAGCATGTTTGGGGATTTATATGAATAACCATAACAACCATATACTTGATACAGTTGATTAAAATATGAGGCTATTAGGTTTTTTTATGGCGTTGTTTATTTGACTGGGTTGGATAGGCACAGGGTAAGCTAAATCACAATTTCCAGTTTTGTTCAAAGACATTAACGGTAATGTGACGTAAAACTTACTCTCCGTGCCCTTCAACTGCTCGCAGAATAGTGTAAATAGTTACAGGAATAAACGGCACAACTGCAAAGAAATCAATACAATTACGGTATATACTTGGTGAAATATAAAACATGGACACCCTGGAAAAACAAAGTTACAGAAGATGTAATTTTGTATTAATTATGAACGTAATCACCAATTATACAGGCGTCTACGCGCCTTGAATAGTTTTGAATGAGAAATGAGACACCCGCAAAAGATCACGCGCTTTAACCTAATCTTTTGCAGGATAAGATTATAATATTAGTTCGGATAATCCCACATATGATTAAATATATTGACTAGAAGAAGTGCGGTGTCGAGTTGCTTCCCACACACGGCCACTGCAAACAAACATTATGTTTACAGCCAGTCAATTTTATTCTCAATAAGGAATTATTTAATTAAAGTTGTCAATAATTGAGTTATTGATTGCGTATCCATGTATTGATTGGCAGCACAAAACATGGTATTTATTTTAACACGCTCGCTGGAAATGTGTGTTCTGCTAGTCAGAACACACCTAAGTGCATTATTTAGTCAAACTCTCTACCGATTCTTAATGGCTACAGGGCAGAACACATTTATATCGGTCACATTTCAGTGATAACACGACAGAGTTGTATAGATAGAAAGCACGTGTGCATTTGCACAACCCGAGGGTGGTAATATTTGATGAAATATTTAACAACAGTAACATACACCGAACAAGCCAGGAATAAACCACTTTCCTCCAGACTGTTTCTCTATCAGCTCAATGTTTTACAGACACATTCGGGTGTCTAGAATGAAGGTGCTAGGATTCCTGCACAAGTTACATATATAATAATTTATACACATAGATAAACTCACGACGGGTCAGAATCTCACTGACACACATTCAGGACATTGTTATAGATCTTACCCCATCCGAGCAGATAGTACCATATGAGTCTATTCCTATCGGAGAACACAGCTACTACGATAAGAGTGTGCAGATAGATGCCTTCACACAACATCCAGTAATAGTTTGACGTCCAGAAATATTGCATCATCACATTAAGTATTTTGCATGAAACTTGGGTACCCTGAACAAATAATGAAACAAAATAATATAATCGATGTTACCAAACTCGAAACGTGTAATTGCACTCACCAATGTCAGACATATTTAAGTAAATAGAATACACTTGTCCTGTGAATGAAATTGTATCAGACCTTTGACAACATTCAATTAAAACGACCTGGTATTCGAACACTAGAATACACTCGAGTTTCAGTTTGGCCAAATGAGAATATAATTACTCGAACAGATGTACAAGCTGTGTTATTCTGGTTATACGAGAAGACTTAGAGGAGTTGGATCAACAATACGGTAAAGGCATTCCAAATAGCCGCCTTTAGGCATTTACGTGACTACCAAATAGTCAACCTGTTACTGTTCTTAATCAATAACATCACATCAGAAGCGACAACAATACTTGTTTCATGCATTTTCCTCAAACTATTCGCAAACGCTAGCTATTAATGTTGTGAGCACGTCTAACAAAATGACCTGGATAAAAAAAAATACCTCGGAATGTTCACTGTAATTATAAAATGTGTGTTGATTGTAAGTGGAGAAGGGAAATATTAAGACAAATTCCTCCCTCTTAGAATTCTTCTGTGTTGTCTATAGTTAGAACTATACAGCATTGCGTGGATACCATGGCTTAAATATTATCGACGTTATGTCATGTGAAGAATTGTTCATACCTATCGGCAATTTTAAAACATACTGCATAAGTCAATGATATAGTACTGCATTGTTCACAAGAGACGCCGTGCCCCAATATTGCATTACGCTCGACTATAATCGGCCACGACCTTAGACAATCTAATTTTTTTAATACAGCCACTTGAGACACCGCAATCAGTAGTCGGCGAATTAACACTCACTCAAACGCAACGTGTGAATACGGTTCATACAAGCATGAAACCAAAGGAACAAGACAGGCGGCAGGTATGACGTCTCACTCGTTCAATCCGCAAAAATCTCTGAGCTAGCAATTCAAACCTCGCAGGCCTAATTACCCACCGTTGTACGTGACGTTTGATTCTGTGGTTGATTGGTTTTGAGTGAATGGTCACGGAGTCAGGGGAATATGTATTACATGCTATCATTTGATCGTAAGTTAAATCTCGGCATAAATCTTATAGGAGACCTGTTATTCCCATGTGCATGCGACTCGTGATGCTATTATGGAAATGGTTGTTCATGTATTTGATAATGACTTTTCAGAGTTCAGGGGTTTGCAATGTCTGAGACTGTGCAAGGTACTGAGTATATTTCTGTTCGCCGACAAACAAACAAACAAACAAACAAACAAACATAAATGCGAATGAATAAAACATCATTGGTGAGAAACAGTGCGCAGTAAACCGAATGATTCACTCACGATAACTGTAAGTTTTTCCCGATGATTCCGACATCCGGAGCTATTACGGTCTGTGAACACGTCGAGTCTCGCTCAACACCCTTGCGGCGTCTCCTGGAGCGAGTGAAATACGTGACTGATCGTTCGGAATCGATGAACAATACTTCTAGAAAGTGTGATTTCAGTTCAAAATAGGGAGAACTTTCACATAATTGTACCCACTTAAAACTAGTGTTACCAATACTATATAATGTATGGCTGTACGTAGACAAGACACGGTTGATGAGTGGCGACAATAACAGCCAATGATTCAACAACCACGTATTACAGACAAAGTATGCGACGTTTTTCTCCAACAGTTGCTAATTATTCACGAACCATCTGGGAATCGAACTGGCATGATTAAACTCGACGCAGAATTATCTTGGCGGTGTAACTTAAACTCACTGAAGTAGCAAGTTACAATACTAGTATGTGAATTGAAAACAAACGATCATTAAAGTCCATTTTGTCATACACACCGCAACGCAGTTGATCATGGCAAGTAGAACCATCTTGCCTAACTGACTGTTTGTACAATTATAAATACAGTCACACAGACAGACAGATAAACTTCTGAACGACGAGTTTAAGCTTGATATTTAAAAATTACCCTCTTCCTATTGTATCCTAAGCTATGCCTTTTGTGTTCGGAATGTATGCTGCAGCAGTCATATATAAGAGGTCGGACCAAAATAACATCTGTTAATTTGGCTCCTTCCCCGTTTAATCTTTCCCAGTCACTTAGGGCTCCTATTTTGTTATTTTTATTGATTCTATTATGTATATGCCATACTTGCCTCGTTATCACTTTCGAGTATGTACGGATGTTCAGCCACAATAGCAAACCATAGAGTCCAGCATATACAGTTGAAGATGAATGAAAAAAACAGATTCTTGTGCAAGGTGATTCGGGGACACGACAGGTTTCTATTACGTGGAATACAAATAATAATCGGTATCAATAATATTAGAAGAGTAATATATCACGTACGCATTAATACTTGTTAACGAGATCAGTGAACATTATAATCAGTGATGGTTACCAATCCTTTTACATACATATCTGGAGATTAGTTGCGTTTGAGGGGACTACTATTACGATTGATCTGTATTACGATTGAGTGGGACCAAGTACTCAATGTCCTTCGCGTGTATGGAGTTTTGCACAATAGAGCATGCCAATTATATTATGAGATATTTCGGACTGAATTACAATATCACAAGAGAAATGACCGAACAACTATGAATCCCAATATAATTATTGAACGAAGAGAACATACATGTCACATACGTACTTAAAGTAAAAAAAAATCACCAAGGAAACCGTTAACGATACTATAGAAATGCTGTACCCGGTATACCACACTATAAGGCCACCTAAAGGCTTGCCCTGTAAAAACAAGAAATGAAAACAAGAATATAATATAAACATATATGCACATGTGACAAAGACATAGAATAACTGTTCAAAGGGCACGCCAAAGCTCATCAATAAAAAGAAAATCTAACTTTCTGGAAATCGCTCCTACATATCAATCATAACCGTATGTTGCTATGGCAATAACATGTTGGGAAACCTTATATAATAAAAGTACGAGATTGGAAAATCGATGTTATTTTGTTTGTCGGCAATGTGATGAGGCAATATCCGACGACCTGGGATTTGATTATTACTTCTTTTTCATAATGTCCGAAGAGAGGGATTTAGCATAACAACAATAATATAATAATACTCATCTCAATGCGTTCGGATTATATTTTCTAATATTGCCCGAGAGAATGATAAAACTATAGTGCATTAAATTACTCGAGCTCATTCTTAGCGAAAATCGTACTAATAAATCTATGCCACAAATGGTCGCCGAGAACTCACCAAGAGTGGGAGAGCCAGCAATCGCGTCCGCTGTTCGAAATACTATGTATAAGTCACATGAAAGGTGGCAGTGATGGTGGGAGAGAGTGAAACAATATTTGAGGGACAAAATTAATCTCGTGGTTCTCTCACTTTGGCGAGTTCTCGGCGGCCATTTGAAAAACAAGTCTCGTGACTTTCTTGCTGCAACGAGGTATATCGCATGTCATTTGCCTCTAATATCTGTAAATCTGCATATTGCAACTACACATGTTTAATCATAGAACTTAATATCACTGATTTGGACATTATCCAGGACTGGAGAAAACATCTTCAAGATCAAAATAAATTCGTTTTTTGAGGAAATGGGCATAAATAGGCGTGGAACTATTACGTGAAGGCATGAGGTCTCCTCTCACACCAATCCATATGAGAACCTTGACTAAAGCGGCTTGGCCCGCGGCGTAAACGAAACGTACCTCAGACTCGGTAGTACCACAGTTTGTATAATTAGACCATGTATTATTCGTTTCCGGGTGAATAAACCACGTTCCATCCGGCATGCATACTCTGTGAGCTAACCCTAAAAATACGAGAGCAAAATATCAGCTTTTAAAGGATGTGTTTTCCGATTGGCACCCTGAATGATAATTTGATATGAAACATCGGGTTTAAGATGCGTCTGCGATGTTTGTGTGTCTGCCCATGACCTAATTTAGTTTATATTTTAAAACATATTACAACTTTCAATGTACATAAGTCTGAAAAGCATGAGAATTGAGATTTCGTATATACATATTGTATTCCAGATTTTTAAATTTGATACGCGGAGTAACATGAGCAACTCATCTCAACTGTTTACGCAGAACAAACCGAACAGATGAATATACGCGATAAATGAGAGACGACCGTTTACGACAAGAGTTGTGTGTCGATGACAGAAGGGTCGTTCTGATTACCAATCACCAATTAATGCCAAGATGAAACGAGTCAAAAACCATGGGACACATTCTAATCAAGTTTAAATTAATGGCCTCCCCTCAGAATTGAGGAAATGTAACAAAGGAGACATCTTCATTTGCACGCAAAGTAGCTAATTCTTAAAGACCGGCGTAACCCATGGCGACAGGTCAAAAGTATTCTCTCGGCGCGCCAAAGTTAAAGAGAAAACAACTTGGCCTATGCCACGGTTGTTTAACTTCAAATTGCATAAAACAATTGATTGAAGGTCAGAGCCATGCCAATTCCGATATGATCGTGGGGTTACGTGGATTACTATCAAATGGTGGTAAATTTCACCAATTATGTTGTGTACATCCGTCAGATCGCTTAATTTGCATACTAATTTGAATATTATTATCATAAAAGATACAGTCACGAAACACACAAGAGGCTTAAATTTGACAAGTCATTATGCGAAATAAAGCTGTATAACTATTCACCACAACGAGAGAAAAATAATTATACAGCCAGGGGCGAGATGTAAAATTCAAAATGAGATTGGATAATGAATAACATAGGAATTCATGCTGCAACACGCACGAGTCTTGCTGCCACTAGTACAGCAAGTCAGTCTGATTAACAAGACATAACATATTACCATTCAGAATTCATGAATGAAGTAATTTACAGCCGATAACAACCGAATGCTGATTTGCAGTCATAAAGCCGTATTATCCTGTCTTAACAGTCAATGTTGTAATACGTTTTAGTTCATAAGCGATGCCGATATATAGTATGCTTTGAGTACCATGGTACCTCTCATTTATGTTTATGGGCGAGAAATATGGAATCGATGTCATCATTTTATGTACCTCGCTGTAAATGATGTAACAATTATATTATTTTTCATAGCAATAAATTGTACATGTAAGAAGAGAGGCGTTATTACGACCACGGTGCTTTATCAATATGCTGCTAATTAGAAAAATAAGTTGACCTTACACTTCATTGTATATTTCAGTCGTAGCGTGTAGACATATAAACATTATGCCTAAATTTGTACAATAAAAGGAATGTTACAATCAACACTGCAATGCTATAATTTATACTTCCCATGAAAAACAAAACGCCTGAAATTAAAACACCATGGTATTTAGAACCGCCAAGCAATATGGCCAACGAGACAGTGTTTCTGTATATTCATTAACATGCTACGTTATGCAAAAATGATTGTAGTTTTCCTCTACAATCGTGGGCGAGAAATATGGAATCGATGTCATCATTTTATGTACCTCGCTGTAAATGATGTAACAATTATATTATTTTTCATAGCAATAAATTGTACATGTAAGAAGAGAGGCGTTATTACGACCACGGTGCTTTATCAATATGCTGCTAATTAGAAAAATAAGTTGACCTTACACTTCATTGTATATTTCAGTCGTAGCGTGTAGACATATAAACATTATGCCTAAATTTGTACAATAAAAGGAATGTTACAATCAACACTGCAATGCTATAATTTATACTTCCCATGAAAAACAAAACGCCTGAAATTAAAACACCATGGTATTTAGAACCGCCAAGCAATATGGCCAACGAGACAGTGTTTCTGTATATTCATTAACATGCTACGTTATGCAAAAATGATTGTAGTTTTCCTCTACAATCGTATGCACGGAAGAAAGAAGGATGCGTTCCTTATTACGAAGAACTGAATCAAGCATATGAACTGAAATACCGCCGTCTTCCATATCAATGGTTCCGTTGAAGATAACAGCGAAACGTCAAATATTATCCCACAAAAAATATTGATTAATCCTCTAAGTGTCGTCAGACAGGGTTTACAATTTGATTGCGGTGAATTATTCGAATGCGATAACAAACACGGCACGATAAGAAATAATACTGAGCTTGAAACATTCAAGAATTCATGTGCATGTCGATACTTACTCTCCGAATCCAATAAACTAGTCGGCTAATAACACGGGTTCAGGGCACGCGACTCGTAAATCAATGCGTATATATCGCAGGAAGCCAAGGTAATCCCACTAGATTTGCGACACAGGGATGTCTTAGAACATCCATAATGATTGGAATTTAAGTGGGACAGTAAGTCGTCATACTGAGTTTTCTGTCTGACTGACATCTCTAAATATTGTGTCTCAGTATATCACATTATTTTATAGAAAGTTTAATTTGCATAAATGAGGGATTGCTTAAGTTCAATGGCTTTGATATCCACGAACTAAAAATAAACAAGTCATTGAAAACGACACAGCCCCCGTTAATTTTAGGAAAGTTCTCTTTGTATTCGTCATATTAAAGCGGAGGGGTTGTCGCGAGCGTGTCCTTGAAACTTGAGTTCCAAGAGGCGTATACAACAGATTGTTTATTTACATCACGTGTTCCGTGTAGTAGTAATATGGCCAAAAATAAAAACAGCCTTTATTCGGCCATCTTTGATTTGATTATAAAAAAGTGACATGTATGATGTATGTGCCAAATACGAATGAAAATGGTACATAAATCGTGGAAATATAGTAGTAAGTCCAAAAAGTCAGATGGCTGTCAATCGGCCAACTTTGACCAGATTTTGAAACTAATTGTCATGGACATGCATCCTAACATGTATAAAGTACATGTATGTGCCAAATTTGAACGAAAACTGACAGAGCACGTCCAAGATATCGCGTAAAAAAACAAAAAAACAAGATGCCTGCAAGTCTACCATCTCTGATCCAATTGCGAAATAAATCGTCAATAACATGTATCCTAACATGTATAATCTATGTACCAAGTTTGAATGACAACTGACAAAGCATGTCCAAAATACAACATTTTCAAAAAACAAGATGACTGCCAGTCGGCCATTTTGAATCGAATCGCTAAACCACTGCATGTGCATATGTCCCACACGAGGTACTAGGCACATGCAAATAATGAACGGAATTGGTCCACAGGAGTCTGAAATATGACTCTGGACAGACTGAAGCACGGACGGACGGACACACGGACGGACGGACGGACAGACTCAGGAACTCACGGACGGTCGGGGACATGTATCCTAACATGTATGATCTATGTACTAAATTTGAATGAAAACTGACAAAGCATGTCCAAAATACGACATTTTCAAAAAACAAGATAGCTGCCAGTCGGCCATCTTTTATCCAATTGTGAAATAAATCGTCATGGACATGTATCCTAACATGTATAATCTATGTACCAAGTTTGAATGAAAACTGACAAAATACAACATTTTCAAAAAACAAGATGGCTGCCAGTCGGCCCTTTTGAATCGATGAGCATATGCCCCACATAAAGTACTAGGCACATGCAAAGAATGAACGGAATCGGTCCAAGGGATTCTGAGATATGACTCCGGACGGACGCACGGACGGACGGAGACCGAATTATAAGTCCCCGTTTTCGGACTTCGTCCGAACGGGGACTAATAAATAACAGTTGCAACTACGTGTATTATTGATCACCCGATGGTTTATGTTTATTGAAGTATACATGCACGCCGTATGTGTGGCTGTTAACGCGCGGAGTGCTTTATTTCTGGAACACAGACTGAACAATTAGGACAGCAATGCAATGACTGTATAATTCGTTTGGTACAGGCGCGGGCTTTTCCTCTTCAAAATACTTATAAAAACGTCATACCTCGAAAATCAAATCTCGCACCAAACTAAGAACAATATTTACGCAAAACACGAAGCAGTAGTCATTTGACTAAAACGCACGTTAGGTTATTAGTAAATACATTGCGCATTGTGTCCTGCATTATTTTACCCACAATAAATATTATTTTTTCTGTGTGAACAATTCAGCATTCAAGATAAATCACAGTTAATCCAGTAACGGTCTCAACTCCAAAATTTTATATCGAACGCATTACTGTAAAATACTTTATTTTCCCTTGGAATTTATTTCGCTATTTTCGCTGAGCGATGATTCAGTAGAAATAAAAATTCTTTTCCCTATATTTTACATTCAGTTCATCGAAAACCAGTGAAAATAAATTCCTTACAGAACACCCAAAAAAAGGCTTTTCAGCGAAAATAAATCCCAGCTTAAATAAAGTATTTTCCAGTATTACATAAATCATTTTTTATAACTCGAAGACCATCTCCGAATACTTACACTGAACCACCCTACACCCACACTGTTTGTCACCGTACCGGGCACACACATTTATAGTAAATTTTAAGATTATATCATGATGCGACTTACTTGTTGGCACGGAGTTGGGAATGAAATAAGGGCAGTTAATGAAGGCGGTGTGCCCAGCCTTGGTATCATTCCAGCATCCCCATCCATCAAACGTTCGATTGCAGTAAAGTCCTGTAAAAGCAATAAAAGCATTTTTTTTATAATTGCGTATTCGAGTCTTGACACGCCGATAATTAAAAAAATATTCTTAAAAATTGATTTCCGGAATCAGTTTGACGCGCGTACACATTAACGGTCGACACTCAGTAGATACTTGACGATAACGAGGTACATTTACTGAACAAACATTCAGTCTTGCTCTGTTTTTCACTCGTTTATAACCCAAACGAAATCATTTATTATCTCTAGGATTGGATCGTAGTGTAAACCAACATTTTACACACGTTTAATCAAAATCGTAAACGTATTGCCAACCGCAGCAGTGATAATTCCCCCATTAAGATCAATCAACCTCTTATAAGTATGATGACCGATTCTGGAGATCAGCTTGCATAATCCGCGGTAATCCAGGTACGACTTAAACAGCAGGGTTTATTCGCACGTATGTAACGGTGGATACTATGTAATCTAGCAATAAAGAACACTATTTCAGAGGATATCACAAAACGGACGAATCCTCATAAGTAACAGACCACGCGTCTCAATATATCTGACCTCTATTTGGAATGTAACAGACTCGTATAATATAACAGACACGTGTGGTTAATGTTAAATTCGTGGCATTTTTTCAAACGTGCCAATTTTTGTGACAAAATATAAAAGTTTGTCTCGAGTGAACACCTGGCGTGATATAATACATGTGATCTGTGTTTTACAGTTATCTTATACATTAACAAAATCAAATGGCACCATGTCAAACATCGCGACGACCAAAAGTCATGGATGACAGGATATATGCATATTTCAAGCGATATCATGCAGAATCAAACACCAACAAAATATGATACAAGTGCCTCTCGTTCTATGCCCTCGATAAACAACAGAGCTGTTTTATCTGAAATAAATATAGTTCAATGATCCATGTAAATGTCCCGGTTTTTTCGTGATATTCAATATACAGAAGAATTAAATTCGCCGACGCCGGGCATCAAATTACATACTAATTATCAGACAGGACTCACCGCCATCCGTCGGAAAAGGATCGGTCATCATTCTTTCCACACAGAGCTCGCGCTCGTGTGCTAGTTGAGCCTGTTGTTTTTCAGTCAGCTCAACAAATGTGTCTCCAAACCAGAAACCCTACGTGCGAAAACAAATATCCAAAGATTGTTACTATGGTAAGCATAGGTACATATCGGCAAATTAGTAAAGGGGTGAGGGGAAGGGAATCTATCTATGTGGGATGGTAAAATTGAAAGTGACCATGCATGGTAATGAGACATGCGTCGTATTACCAACGTGAATGTATAAAGATATAAAGAGAAGATAAAAGCGTGGTTAGAATACCAACAATTAGATGTTTGTTGGATACTGATGTGGGTATATAATGCGCAGTGAGTGAGTGAGTGAGTGAAACTTGTATAGGTATAACCGTGTCCTCGCTGAAATGTATGAAGTGCAGTATATATGAGATATGCGTAGGGAGAAGGGGATGACATTTGTCGGCTCAACAAGTTGGCATGTGACTACACATGCACAAGTAAGTGCACCACAACAGGACACAAGTGCTACACCTCGACAATTTGTTACCATGCGTGACGGCCGCCTTTATTTGACATGCGTTTGTGGTCTGTCAATCTACAAGTATCAACGTGCCCTACAAATACGAAGAACATACCTACATCGGGTGCTTAGACTGGGAAATACACAGATACGTCCACATTACCAGGGATATGTTAGGAATGTGCTCACTGGTGTAATCATTCACAATTTTCACACACAATTCACAATGCAATAACAATATATAAACACATTTTTTGCTAGTAACACCCGAAAAAGAAGGACAGTGCAGTTTACGCTAAAACTGTTTTTAAATTATCACAGAACACCACTCCAAAATAAATATTCAAACGTTATGATCTTGGTTATTTGGTTTTAAAACTTTTAATGCCTGCAACACTTTTTTTGTCCGTTATTATAATTATTAGTTCACCGCCCTCCCCATTAGTAATAAGCACAACAACATGACGCCGAACACTATTAATTGTGTGCCATTGTGGTTAGTAAAATGTTTTCTAGAGTTTCTAGGGATGTATCTAATCATAGATCCAGAGAGCACCACACTTGATGTGTTAGTTTTATATTTATTGTGATCGTCTAAAAACGTGTGGCTTGAACCAAAACTAATGTAAAAGTAGACAAGCTAGAAGAATAGATACAGTGGTGAATATGACTTTATCAACCCTTCTAGCTCATTCATTTCCGATAAGAACAGCGTATAGTTTATTCTGGATCGTGAATACCTCCAACCCGCACTGGTACTATGCGGCACACGTGCCTATTTTGAAACGGCCGAGCCTTCACACGTGGGAGTTGTTTATTTCGGTTTCACACGTATCCGACGTTTTGCCACAATGTCGACGCAGCACAAAATGGCGGGATGAAGGGAATGAGAATTTAGTGTGTTAGAAATATGAACAGAGCAGAAGTGAAGAAGTGCATGCTGGGAATTGCACGACAGAATACCAACAACACAGTAAACATGATAAATATGAATGAGAAGAAAAAAATGCCCGAAAAGGCTGGTATAAAATCACCAGGGTGTTTGTTACCTGTGACCAGGGGTTATCATAGTACTCAAACACGTATGAGTCGTTCTCCCCTCCATCACACAATCCAACTATCTGAATAAGGGAATGATTGGGAAAAGCAAACATTTGGAAATGGCAAAATAGGAGTGATAGAAACATACACGATTTAGATACGTTAGCAAATATAATAAGTTAGCATCGATATATATGTATATCGGATATTTATATTTATAATCTACAAGGCATTTAACTACTTTTAGATAGTATTATAAAGAAACAAATAGGCTTGCCCGGTATCCTTCGAAAGGAAAGGAAATCGTTGATAAAGGGAATAAAACAAAGGATCAAAATGCATTAAAAAAAACATATTTTTAAATCTTCAATATACATATAACTGGAATAAAAGAAATTTACGGTTATTACTATATCAAGTGATGATGGGCACTAAGTATATGCTATACTGTATCGATTTCTAAATTTTTCTGGAAACTGAAACACGACAACCGCAATCGTACGATGATCATGATGATGATGATGACAATAATAATAACAATAATAACAATAATAATAACAGCAGCAATGAAGATGATAATGTTGCTGATGGTGATGATATTGATGATGATGTTAATTTGAACAACGGTTTGACCAATAATTGCAAATTTGCTTCGATACAATGTTTTGAAAAGAGTCCACCTTACCTGGGCTAAGCAAATCACGAAAAGTACCACTCTCGGTGATATCCTGGCATCCATCTCCTGATCAGCAAACGCGGTGTCCGGGCAACGGTACGGTATTCCTGCAAAGAACGACCGAGACTTGAAGCTGTAAATAACGTGACAGGCAGGCAGGAGAGGTGACATATACAGTGAATGTAAGCACTGTTGAAAACAGTCCGTGATATTCCAAGACATACGCTCAGACTGAACGCGTTGAACGTAGTACGTGCAAATGCTGGACGCAGAGCCTCTAATTCATAACATAGGGAGAAATAGGGCGGCACTAAGAGCCGAGCATGCGCAGACCATCAAGGCGACGCAACCGAAAGAAAGCCAACGTCTTGGACGAGAATCGCATGTATTTTATGAGCAATGAGTCTTGAATCTCTATGGTCGCACATTTAACCTTGTCTGGAGTTAAACACAAACGTGTCGATTGGAAAGAGCGTATTTTGATAAGCGAAGCAATGCCGAATTGACAAATACACGAGCAACACATAATCTAACATTCCTGTACAGAAGTGTTAACTTTTGACGCTGTATTTGTTTATTATCTACTAGTATGTATTTTGAATTTTTCGGTAGGAATGACGTAACCAGTGTGCACATTGTAATTGCGGATTACATATGACGGGTTAATATTAAAGTGTCATGCTGAAAGCTGCACATGTGATCATGGGAGATTTGGTCGTGTTAGTTACGGGAATGAATAGTCCCTAAGTGCGGTGGTGTTAGTCTGATTGATGAGTATGCACACGAAAGAGTTGATAAGGGTAACACGATGTGGTAAAGTCAATAAGGAAAAAGTTCTTTTTGTGAAAATAATAATTATATTTATACAATAACGTCTTTATATAAATAATAAAAAAAAATAATTTGCGTCTACATATTTGATGATGGTTATAATTACGTATTATCTGTCACAGAATATTGAATATGGTTTAGAAATATTTAGGAATATAATAATCACGGAATACTATCCAATATTTAGTCCTTATACATTATTAATACATTGCTGAACAACAATATTTTGTACCCATCTTTGGCTATTTAGAAAGTAATTTACCCGCAGAGACACATCAAATAAATATTACATATCACAATTACTCTTTATTCATATGTAATAACGATGGCACCATAAAACCCGTCACCGGAATAAAACGTGTGTATGCCTCACTACTACAAACTGGTTTGCCATAGAATCAATAAGACGGCTATAAAACAGCAATATGTTCGGGTGTATCATTAATAGAAAACATGAATCATATACATACATCAGTGGAAATCAATAATGAAACAATCATCATTTTTTATCGTAATTGATCAAAGGTCTTTTAATATCGTTTACTATCACTTTTCTTTAGAGGAATATCAATCAATGTCTCTTTCTATATATATATATCGGTTGAGTTAATCGTCTCGGGGATAAATAACTGAATATATTCTCATATTGAATAGTACTACACGCGAAGAAAATGTCACTGTGCCGGTGGCTGAATTCAGTATTTAGTGCTCCGTTAATTTTGGACCGAATCGTCACAACGCTCAATTATCTGCATGGCTTGATAAAAAATAATTATGTAAGTTTAGTTTGTGCAATCCAGTCGTAAACAACAACGTTGAAACCGACAAAGGATATAATTAGAGAGCAATTCTGAGCATCTCAGTTTTGTATGGATTGTTGTCAAATATTTGCAGCAAAAATAACTATACATTTTTAACACCCAGATCAGATTCCAGCAGAGTAATAGAATGGTATACATGGCGCATTCTTAGATATAACCGGCATTAAACCCATTTGTTATCATTTATGGACACTTATTTTGAGAGATTTACTACTAATTACTATTTTATTAATACTTATTTATATTAATTGATATACACTAAGCAATGAGCGACTACAAAAATGTCGATTTGAAAGCCATTGCTTTCACACTTCAGCGCCATGTTGACGCTACAGAATCTCTTAGACGCCTGAGGGCGCAATTTTTAGGAAAGGTGTGTTGATAAAGTGTGGCATGTCAACAACTACAAAGTAAATAGTTTGGTCAATCATAAAAAATGGGTTATGGATTTATTGACGTATAACCGAAACTAACTTCACAAAACAAAATTTCACAAATGTTTATTGAATTCCAATGAAATCACCGGTCAATTAATAATATACCAAAGACCTCATTAATTATGGAAAACGTGAACAAACACGCCAATGAAAACTACAGGTAATTGCTCGTACGTCCCAATTACGACGTAGATTTGGGACAGTCAGATGAAACATAATCACACAACAAATTAAAAACAACAGAAAAAGAAATACGGGTATTAAACCGGGGTTGTTTTGAATGTTTCGTTTTTGTTTTTAAAGATTGGAAATTTGATTTTGGTTTTGGTCGAAAGAACTAGATTGAGTTTTGATCAGTGTTTTCCTTTTTTTAAATAATTTAAGATGATAAAGCCGAAACGACTGAGTAAACACCATTTTGATGCTGATAGCATCTTTCATCCTAAATTGCCTCCAATGTTTATTCATTTGGTTTAGCATTGCTATGGAAATAAGAACAAGTTGAAAACAAAATGCAATAAACTAAATCCAATATCAACTGAGCTTTACTGCCAAGCACTGTAAGTGTGAGGTTTAGTAATATCCAAATCGTATGAACGTTGAAAACGCTCCCACCACGATCCTAATTGTTGGGATGTGGAGAGGAAAGCAGCACTTACTAAAAATATTCACACAATTGCTAATTTCGAGTAGCATGATTTCAAATCCACTGTTCTCATGCTAGCTGTCAGTGACGTCATTATGGTCATTAACGTTTCTTTATTAGCGGTGAGACGAGTTGTATTAACTTGTATTGTGGGTCAGAACTATAGCAATGAAATTTGCGTATTAAAATTAGAGTCATTATCAGTCGATATCACTTTAAACAGAATTACGCGCCATATATACGGCCGTACTTGTTGAATATTTTTCACAAACACTACACTGAATGTTGAACCTTTCTCTCGAATACGTTGTCGTGGAACTTGAATACTGCAAACATCTATTCAGTATTACTAAACAATAGGGTATGAATTTACAATAACATACAACGTCCCAAGAAGTATAATACGGCGATCTTCTTCATATTACGTATTAATATCTTGTTATGTAACATGTACATGGTAATAGAGCTGGTCCACATCGCACTCACTCTTTCATTTATACGCAGATCCATGCACAGAGATGCCTACTGAAATCCCTTAAGTTGCTGCTTATTATTAACTATTGATGATTTCGCTTCTCTGAGACGCCCACACCGCCCACACGCCAACTCTATTTAGAGAGGGGACCTATACATGTAGTAACGATTCAAAAAAATCTTATATTATATTTGTTCACGACTGAACATTTGCCCTAACCGCCCGGCGTGACGTGTCCACAAGGGCCTGACTGACAAACGTGGCGGACAGAGCAAATACTCGGCATTTATAGCGTCACTGTTAGTATAATTGTTCCAATAAAGCGTCACTGTTTTTTTTCTCGGCTAAACTAAAACCGACTGAAGACTTTCTCAGTAACGCACTCCCTTGCTGTTGCATGTTTGAAAGATTTGTCATACACCTGTGCTGTTTTCCAATTAGAGTGTCCATTCATGTCTCAGCATGGTAACTCAGATTGACATCAGTCACTGTCCTAAATCTGTAGTTACCAGGCAACAGCCGCATTTGTCATGCCAACGTTCGGTTAGTGACTCTTCATTAATCGTGTTGCAGCAAGGTAACTGCATTGGACGTAGAAACTAAGCTTGGTTAGACTCATTTCCAGTTAGTCTGAAATATAATATACTGGCCACCGAAACCACTTGTGTGTGTATACCGAGCTTCACCTTTTTGTATTAGACAGTCCTGCCCGGGATAGAATGTACAAAAGACGGGGTTTTATCAGAAATTCATCTTTAACGACAAACGTTACGGCAACAGCAGTAGTTGACATATTTAACTCGGACTAACCACATCTAAATCTGGTCGGTTAAATTATTCAGTGCCTTGGAACCATACTGCTAAATTATTTCTATATAGCCACACAACACGTAGAGTGTTCGTGTTTTTGTTCGTATTCTTTGCATTATTAAAAACAGTGCGATCATTTTTCTGAAATTCGAGATACAACTAACGCAGTTAGATTATCTATTTCAACCAGATACAATATATTGATATTACAAAATAATAATATTAGAACGCTCATGCAACCATAAAACATCGGCATGATTTTTACTATACATTTTAGATGGATATATTTTTGAAATTCGGGCTTATAGTGATTAATAACCACGATAAGGGGAATATAACCCCACACCAACAAAAAAGTGAACCAAAAATACAAATACAAGATTCCATTTTTAATGTGACGCAGTGACTGTCGTTAGAACTGCGTATCTGCACATACTAATTTTTAATTATTATCTTGTTCATTGCTTGATCTTACTTACAATGCGCGTACCACGCACTGTATACATTGAAATTATACGATAGTGAGGTACAGAGCGTGTCTTCATAGTGGACTATATTTACAATCCAAGCGAGTTAACTTATACCGCATACGTACGAGAAGTTAGCTCCACGCACCTTTTACTCGACAATGCCATTGACAATGGTAAACAGAACACCTGTATAGTGTGATAGCCAGCAGCACCGGACATTAGCATGTTCAAGCGAATCATGTCATAGGAAATGAACAATGTAGTGGATCCACTTTGGTAATTGCAGTTTTGCTATTGTAACGGTTACTAAGCAACATGATGTTGTTGCGGTTAGGAACTTTTTCTCGTTGAACGTGGCATAGTGCTGAGTACATACTTGAGATTGATCGAAACATGACAGACGATGCATGACCCAAGTCGTTTACAATATGGGCAGTTATTACCACTTTACACACGTGATGATTCAGAAACGGACAGTCGCAGTTTAAAATCTAGACATCGACCACCATGGCAACCAGGGTCTAACAACAGATGCATATTTGGAACATTCTTTGCACAGAATTATGATAAAACAAGCTGTTATTTTAATAGACTCTTTACGGATTTTTTTCAGAAAGTTACTTGTTCTACCAAAAATCACAAAGTGTTTCCCGATACTCCCACGCTCATCTAAAGATCGGTTTAAATGATCAGAATATTTTGTTCAGATAAATCGCATCATGTAAACCGCAGAATATGTCAGTTCAGATTTGTTAAATTTCACCAAAATTATTCTGACGGGATTAATTTGATGAGATAATTCTGATCATGTAAACATTATTTTTTCATCAGTCAAGTAATGTTGATAAAAGTATGTACAAAATGGCAGAGGTGATGGTGTACTCGGACACCAATGTCACGTGACAACACTATTTTAGGTATGAACAAATTGGCAGAGGTGATGGTGTACTCGAACACCAATGTCACGTAACAACAATATTTTAGGTATGATCAAAAGGGCAGAGGTGATGGTGTACTCGAACACCAATGTCACGTGACAACAATATTTTAGGTATGAACAAAATGGCAGAGGTGATGGTGTACTCGGACAACAATGTCAAGTGACATGGTGGTCTATTCAGTACGTTTTACGTGACATGTTTATAAATGAAAGCGTGTTTACAGGTATCGTGTAGCCCGTGGTAGGAAACAAGAGATTCCATTTCATATACTAATTTCCCCCGTGCTCTGCTTTGTACTCTATTTCGATGGAACTCGACACCAGATGTAGTATTCAGGCAATCCGTTCGCAATAAAGAACAGTGGAGGCCTGAGTTGCTGAAATTTTAATTTCTAAGCTCCCCAGTCCAAGCGATCGTATAAATTACTTAACAATTGTTCCCATGGCAAGTGTCCATTAAAAAGTGCATATTTAAATATTTACAGAAAAAAAAGCTGTTTCGCAATATTGTACAGCTCGGCTCACTGTGAGCTCGCTAGATAATCTGGTCAGTAAATATGTTGTATTTAGTAGTATATATCGTCAATATAACAAGAATATTAAATTATTTGATTGAATAATTCACGAGATAACATTGTGTGATGATGGTACTTATATTCTGCTGATACTCCTGTCGTTTTATATCAACCCCCTAGAGGCAAGTGGATATTGTTTGTTCCTATTTATGACGTCATTTTATTGTAGTAAAATATGTCGAAGCACGTAGTAGATAAATTCAAAAAAATATAGTCGTGACTTTAAAAATATTTTCAAATGTCAAGCATTGTATTGGCCCAGAGCCATATCACGCAATTGACAAATGGGCGCCGAAAATAAACATTTCTATTGGGATCAAACAGCTTGGTCTAATATCAAACGTCACTATTAGTCTCGGTCGCAGCAGTCGTCAGTCGTTGGCCAATGTAGTTTTCGATGTGATATATTATACTCGTCTAATAAAAAACATATTATATATTTGAAGGTAGCGCCATGCGATGCGGTTATCGTGACGGAAGCCATCATCGCCTACAATCTACTCACCTAACACAGCAACGATAATAAATATCCGTCTTTCAATGCACCGAATTCCGCGTACTTGGTATTACGAAAATCTCGACACGATACAGAAAACGCTGCGCTCGCTCCTACAGCGCCCACTTTACTGAGGAGAACCAAGGGAATTACGCGCAATATAAATTGCTGTATTTCAATTTGCAGTAATTTGGTATAGATTACGGAAAATTGGAGACAGCTAATTATCAATCTTGTCAGCGTTCATCGTTGTCGATAACCCTTGCTTGCAGACGGTGAATTAATGCAATGCAATGTACACCATCAACATTATGTTTTCTTCTTCTAGCCTTACTTCATATTCCCCTATTAGATACTAACACCCCTGGATATTAACCATGCCACGAGGCACGTACGACGGACATTGGCAAACATGGAAATCTAGAGGCCTTTGAGTAAATTAGAGTGAACCGATGCACGATCGAATGGCGTAGCATTTATTCGAGGAGTAATCACTGGCCCTAAAGCAAACCAATTACGGAGAATGCAAACAGGAAATACGAAACGCATGAACATCTCAATAACAACAATCCAATATATACGAAAATGTGTATGTGTGCGTCAATTTACAAATGGTCCATCATTCCTACTTCATTCCAAATCTGTAATATTACGTGGTATTACAGTCGAAAAGACCACACCTTGTCCGATGGCGACGACATGCTGTGGCACGAAAACCTTTATGTGTGACGTTGTTTTGTTTCGGAAATAAAATTGTATTTTGTATGATTGCTCAATGTTTAAATATTTGAAATGCACGTATGACGCAATATTCTAAGCTCAAGTCATTCATAGTTGCTGTGGAGTAGATGAGTAATTCAAACTGCTCTGCTGAACGACCTAGGCAGTATGGCGGCTCGGACGGTAGATGGATCATTCAAACTGCTGTGTTGAACGACCTAGACACAATTGTCATGTTTGCATCATGCTGGAATTTTAACACCACACTGCAAAAATGGGAGCAGGCGTGGGAACCCACGCCGACTCAAATTTCTTTGTTCCTGCATTACTATTTGTCCACGTAGTGTGAATTCATGTGCCAGCAGGTGTGAACTGACTTCTCGCCAAGGCTTAAATGGGGAGAGGGTAAAGGGAATAGGAGGGACGTTGGGACGTCATACCAGGTGCAGGTCTTGACGGATTGTTACGATAACCTAGCAAGGGGTGTCTCACGTGTCTTAATATTAAAGAACATCGAAGCTCAACTCCAGAAACTGACTGTGTCTGACTACATGGGTGTGTGAATGACTTCAGTGTTCCGTTATAAGGTCTTATGGTATCCCTACACTGTAGAAGCGAGTAATCCCCGAAATTCCCCTTTGAGCCACATTACACAATGGTGGCTGCATGAGACGGCAGTTGAACAATTCAAGCATAATTCAACTGCCTTGCTGACACTGTGGCGGATGGGACGGCGGATGAGTGATTCAACTTATGTGTTGAACCGAGGCAGTTTAATGGCTTGGGTGGTGAATGAATAACTCAACTGCTGTGCTGAACAGCCTACGTACTATCATGGAGGTAGAAAAGAGATTACTACCTCCATGGTACTATATGGTGGCTGGGTGGCGAAGAGTCGTCCCAGATTTGCTGTGTTGAACGACCTCCCGAGTGTGTCTGAAATGAAAGATTTATCGGGACATCCGTGTAAAACTGTTCACCGAGGGTACTTCTTCCCTAGATATGTGACTGTGTTATATCTCTCTACATTGTCAAACTGCCGCCGAGGTGCAACATACTTAGTGGTGAACATTCCATTGGTAACATTCATTTAGACAGCAATTGAGTAATAGGTGAGAATTCTGAATGAGAAATTATGTTAGCTTATTTGTAGCTCCTCCAGTATTGAAATCGCCATCTGTCATATACATATGGAGTTTTGTCGTCATTCATTATTAATCTTCACCGAGTCGCACGCAACTCTAGGCAAAAGTACCACGCATATGACAGAGCTGCAACGCAGTGGTGGGACGGGGCCGTGAATTGTTGACGCCTCGGTGTTTCGTTTCCCACAGATGTCAATCGTAAGCCGCACTTTGAGTAACGCGGATTGATTTATTTGTCATTTGTGACGTAACAGATGGCGTCCGTCATGGGGGTCGTTGACCGGTAATCAATTTTAGAGCAGCGTGTTAAGTGGACGAGCTTCCCATGCCGAGTTAGTACGGACACTCTAATTGAAACGTCAAAGGTGCATGAATCCTGTGGGGGGGGGGGCACTCCATCAGGCAAAAATAAAAGGAGCATATTATAATTTGAATATAAATTCTACTCAAATGCCTGAGTAAAAAGATAATATCGAGACATGTTTGGCAGATAGTTGTTGTTCTGGTCGCAAACTTGTGCGACATACGACAGAAGGAACTTCGCAGACAACTATATCTTGTACTTGCTTGTCGCAACATAAAGTTGCTACAGAGAGTTTTCGTCATAACGACTGTCGGTCAGTATCGCGAGATATAGCCATCCCAAGAGTAGAGACGACAATTGCCCGTTATTTCATCAGAATTAAATGACGTTTCTCAAATTCCCCAACTTCCTTTACTATATATTACAGATATCCCAAGATGTGATCGAACGCTAAACGATCCCCGGCTACATATAAAGAATGTATTTTTATGAATGCTAATTTTGCTGCCGTGACAACGCATACAAATCAACATAGCAGCACTCTCTGACAAATCTATCGGCATGTTCGTCATTTGTATGTTGGTTTTAGTTAATTTTCGGTTAATGAGTACG